AAATGAATAACTGGCAAAGAGTCGAAAATGCCCTCTGAAAATTGACATTTTTTTTTTAATTTCTGTGTACAAAGTCTATGGGAAAAATTAAATATTCAAAATTCTATAATAAATCACGTGATGACGTCAGCATGACGAAAAGTTTCGGCATACATCCTCAGATGATTGTTAATAACTATGCTGAGTTTAAAGTTGATCGGATTTGAAATAATTGCCAAAGTGGCTTGTAGAATAAAAACGTGTACAAAACCTATGGGAAAAGTGGAAAAAAAAAAAAAAGAAAAAAAAAAAAAAAAAAAGGAAAAAAAAAAACTTTAACGAAAACAAGAGCTGTTCCCAATTGAAATTGGGAACAGCTAAAAAGACCAGGCTTTCCAATACCTTTTGTTTCATCTCATTTGCTTTTGTGAATTAAGAGATAACTCCAGTTTACTGCGGAACATAAAAATCGAGTTTGTTTCTTTTGCCAAGTTGCAATCTTTTGTGAGCTTCAAGACAGCATGGCACAGTACTCGAAACAACTCTGCCCACGCATAAAAGTGGCACAAAATCGATTTTGGTGTATCGCACTAAATTGATTATATGTCTGAATTGACAAAAGCAAATAAGATCAATCAAACACTATTGGAAAGCCTAGTCTTTGTTCTTTAATATTATGCCAAGTAAGAATGACTTATTTTGAAATTTCATATTTAACTAATTTTTTTCTGATTGTACCATTTTTTTTGGAGACAGGCTGTAGATGATTACGTTATGTAGGGCAGTAAGATGCCTAGGTACATTGTAAATAACAAGACACAATAATGTAAAGATCACTAATGAATCACTGGTAACTGTACAACCTAATCTATTGGTCTTTAAAAAACGACATAACCACCTTTTACACACACTAAATACTCACGTTATGTGGAGCAGTAAGATGCTTAGTTAGGCCAAAAAAAAAATACTTGGTCTCTGGTCAGCGCGCGCGTCGATTTTAATCATGCTCGTCAACCTTCTTTTTTTCTTCAAATTTACACGGAAGCTACAACAGTGCCCTCTATTGCCGCACCTCAAATTGTTGTTCCAAGGAGCACCAAGGAAAAGGGGAATTGCACCAAGGCAAATGATGAAGGGCACCAAGGCAAATTATGGAGGACACCAATGTATAATGAGGACACAAACAAGCAAAATAGTACCCACCTTGTCTGTAGAATTCAAGCTTAAAAAAAAAAAAAAAAAAAAAAAAAAAAAAACCCGCGTCGCTGCATCAATTCCGGAACTTCGGTCTGACCAGAGACTGATTATTTTTTTTGACCATTAAGATCATTAATGAATTACTGGTAACTGTACAACTAAATCTATTGGTCTTTAAAAAATGAAAAAAATAACCTTTTACACACACTAGATAATTACGTTATGTAAGGCAGTAAGATGCCTAGGTAAATAACAAGACACAATAACGTGAAGATCACTAATGAATGACTGGTAAATGTACAACCAAATCCATTAGTCTTCAAAATATGACATAATAACCCTTTTTCATACGCTAAATACTAACTTATGTTGAGCAGTAAGATGCCTAGGTAAATAACTAGAGACAATAACATGAAGATCACTAATGAATTACTGGCAACTAAAGAACCAAATCTATTGGTGCTTTAGTTACAAAAAAATACTTGTTATATACACCAAATAATTACGTCAAATACAGTGGTAACTAGTCTATGTAATGAATAGATAATAATAACGTTATAATCACCAGATATTCGTGGAAACTGTAAAACCAGAAGTATTTGGTGCTTCAAAAGCGAAATGATCTCCTTTTGTCACCACCATATAAAGACGGTTTAAAAACATGTTATTTGGTCAAGTGAATAGTGATCATAACGCGATTTGCACTAGTTATAAAAACCTTCCGGAATCACATTTCCTTATTCACGTGATTAGTAGGTAATTTCAAAGTGCCATTGGAACGAGAAAACATAGTTCCGTTTTTAATTAATAAAAATCACGTTATAGCTAAACGCGTAAATTTCGTTTTTTCTTTCCGGTGTTTTGTTTACTGGGTAGAATAATTCTACTCACACGGCAGATTGGTTTATTTGCAAAGCAACTTCACACTTTTCTAAAGGTTGCAGACCCAAAAATAAAAACAGTTTTTCTTCCAAACAAATTAAAATCAGTAATGAAATAAATAGAAGTTTTGTTGTAGGTTTTTTTGTGTGTATGTGTGTGTGTGTGTCAGTGTGATTTTTTTTAAACATAGGCCTACACGTAAAGAAGAAACATTGAAGTTTTGTCAGGAGAACAAATTCAAGTTTGTTAGAGAGCACTGCCAGCACATCAATTCCTTGCCAGTAGTTTATTGGTTTTCATTCTCAGTTGTCAGATCTGCATGTGCACATGGAAGACTTACTTGTAATTTCCACACGATTATGAAAGTTTGTGTTGATGAACATGTACATGAAAGAAACTTACCTTGTACGGGAATGGTTCCCTTGTGTTGTCCCTCATTGCTGCAGATGACCACTCGGTTGTTGTAATAGTCTGCCACAGCAATCTCACGAGGTTGAGTAGCAGTAACATCCTGAGCCCCACTGAACTCTCCTGGACCAAACTCACGACAGATCTCCCACTTGACTGCTTCCACCTCAAGCTTGCCCAGATTGATGTCACCAATCCTCTGACCCGGGGTGAAGCTCAGATATGAAAGCTTGGGATCAATCTGGGGAGGATTTTGACCCTTTAGTGATTTCAAGTCTTTGCTGATGATAGGGTATAGGGACAAAAAGCCACTGTCAGATGCAGTGTTAATGATATCCTGGGATGTCCCTAGCGAATGTTTTTGACTTTCAAGCATCATTGTCAGTGTTGACTGATGCTCATCATATGTTCTGTTGCGATCCTGCTGGAGTTGTTTGATTTCTTCAATCATCTTTGTCTCTTGAGTTGTTATCTCAGCTCTCATTTTATCCGCTTTGTCTTGCACAGCTTTCACAGTCTTTGTGACGTTCTGTGTAAACCTCTGCTTAGCTTGTGATGAAGTGGTCAAAGCTTGTTCAAGTCTTTTGATGCCTGTAGTGAAGTCTGGAAACGTGTCTTTCAGTGACTGTTTGTATTTTCGAGAAGCCTTTCCAGAGTCAATGTAGTGATGCTCTGGTTTACAGTGGTCTACTACAGTACAATCTCGGCAGATTAACTCTTCACATGTCTCACAGTAAAAGCGTTTCACTTCCCCCTTGTGTTTGTGGCATTTAGACTCATCTTCTTCTGGTGTTTTTTTCACTGTTACCTTCCCCTGACGAATGTCCTCCAAAGTAGCCACTGTGTGGTTTGATGTAGCAGCAAATCGCAAGTGTGTCTTGCGACAGTTTGGGCAGATATTCTGTGCACAGTCCAGACAACGATGCATGGCCTCATTTCCCTCATCACAAATCTCACAGATGACCTTTGTGTTTTCTGAACAAGCCACTTTTTCTTGGAGTGAGACCTCCTCAACTATTCCCATCAAATGGAAATTTGTTTTTAGGCCTTGAATGCGTGTCTGTGGGAGTACCGTCTCCCGTCTACATACAGGGCAAGGAATCTTAGGCTGACCTGCATACCTGCTGGTGTAGTATTTCTCCAGACATGTTTGGCAGAAGCTGTGCATGCAATCCAGCACCTTGGGCTGTTTATATTTGTCTGCGCATATGACGCATTCAAGATGGGGGCTGATGTTCTTTAGAGCTGTAGCCATTTTATCTGTATACAAAGAGTATTTAAAAAGAAATTGAAATGGTTATAATACAGAGATGTAGCTTCTTTAATACTGCACTGTCTGTGTGAGTTTCATTCGGGCAAAAAAACCCCAACATTTTATTTCCATTTGTTATTTTGTATTTACATGTATCCACTTTTGAACAAGATATCAATTTTTTTTTGAATTCCTGTCAAATTTTGAAGAGCTCTGATTTTTTGATGAGCTCTGGTACGTGTACGGTAGCTTGTGCCCTGATCTGGTTATTACTAAATATACATGTAAGTTTTGTTGGAACATTACTACTGTATGCACTCTTCACATTTTGTTGTTTAAAGCCCAACTGTGATTCCTACACTTGTACCGGTAAGCTAGCATTTAACCTCATTCAAAATAACTGACAATATTTTCTTACCTCTTTTAAATTCCCAGTCAAATCACTTAAAGATGAAGTTTTTTTCACTTTGATGTAAGAGCACTAGCAGTTAAGGCGTTTGATGGGGCGGATCTGGTAAAGATGGTGCTGGACAAACACAGCATCGTCATCAAGTCGCGTGACATGGTTAATATATAGAGCTTGGGATTTTTGTTTTGCTGCATACATATACATGTACATCACACACTCGTACAATCTGTATCAGTTTATCTGTGTACTTACCTGTACTTGACACTTGAGTTTTGGACCTTAGATAGGTTCATGCATTCTATCTACATGTACATTTTTGTATTTCAATTGCATACACCTCAGCATCCATCTAATTCTCTTTTTTTCAACCATCAAATAAAATAAGCTGTAAAAATATTTTCCTCAAATCTTTCAAATAGGCCTATTTCACACACGAAAAGTTTCCCTTATCTTGTGCTATACCGGTAAATACTGATCTTTATTTGAAGTTATCATTTTGACCAACCCAAAAAGTTTCAACTTTGTGTTAAAATTGTCCCTGCAAATAAAACATATACGTGCTACTGGGGGAAAGTACATTTGGGTGCAATGATGTACACTGAGGACAATGGGCAACAGAATTCACTGTACATAAGAGGACACTATGTCCTCAGTTGGAAACCATCACAAATCAAATGAGAGGAGTTGCCAAAAGTTACCCAAACAAAAGCCATCAGAAGGACAGTGGGAAGTCCTCAATCTACACAAACCTTTGTGGGAGTGTGAAAAGTGCAGAGTTTTAGAGGAGGGGAACCAACATAATGTTCAAACAGTGTATCTATTAATGCATATGTTTTAGAATGCTGTAACCATGGTAACATAAAACTGTCATCCTGTCTGGCTTGTTTCCACGGTGTGAAGGGCATCACCTCAAACTCCCTTGACAACAAGATGAGACAACTCAAGGAACATGGTCAGGTTCTTGGCAGGATTCATCCTGGGTTCTATGACATCAGGAAGAGATTGAAGGAAGATCTTGAGAGAATGTTGGCTGAGAGACGATGAGGAGTCAAGAAGATGACGGCCGGTAAACGTCTCAAGTCAAGTAAGAATGAAAGTTGTCTGGAAATAATCACTGCATCAGCTAGATTTGATGACTAGTGATCCTACATGTACTTAATGTTTTGGAAGCTTCATGTTAGGGCTGTCTGGTTTGAATCTGGTGAATCTTTGGTTCAGATCCTACTGGTTTTGTTCTTTTCTGTTGACCCCTGGTTCGATTCCTGTTTATTCCCAGGTGTGACCTCAGTTACCCTTGAAGGAATTGAGGAGTCTTTGGTTCAGATCCTTCTGCTTGTTTTCTTTTCTATTGACCCCTGGTTCGATTCCTGTTTATTCCCAGGTGTGATCTCAGTTATCCTTGAAGGAATTGCGGAGTCTTTGGTTCAGATCCTACTGCTGGTTTTCTTTTCTATTGGCGCCTGGTTCGTTTCCTGTTTATTCCCAGGTGTGATCTCAGTTATCCTTGAAGGAATTGAGGAGTCTTTGGTTCAGATCCTACTGCTTGTTTTCTTTTCTATTGGCTCCTGGTTCGATTCCTGTTTATTCCCAGGTGTGATCTCAGTTTTCCTGGAAGGAATTGAGGAGTCAAATCACTGAAAGACAATTTTGAGAAATTGCTCGAAGTTTTTCATCTTGATGCAACGAGTGTGAATAGTCGTAACCTTTAGAGTGGGCGGATCCCAGATCTGAGTCATGTACAGTTCATTATCTTGTTTGTTTGCTGACATGTTTACTCTACACTTGAGTTTGTATCTTGGACCTGATTTAGGTTAATCTCTACTTGCATACGTGTACATGTACACGTACACCATCAGGTTGCAGACCAGTGATAGATACCCCCACTTCCAAAATTCAGGAAAAAAAAATCGCAAGCCTTCAAGGTGTTAAGACACATCAAATTAAAACTGATTTTATCATCTTTCATTTTCTGTTCAAATTTTGGGGGTAGGCTGATGACTTTTAGTAGAAATTTCCATCCAAAGATGATCACCCCTAAAAGTAGTCGTGAAGCCCATCGCAATTTTGAAAAATTATGGCTACGCTGTATTGCAGAATAGAACAATTGCCATGGAGACAGGCCATGTAATTTGGAATTGGTGGCCAAATTTTGAAGCTCACTGCCAAAATACTGTTGCTTTCTTTTTAAAGGCCACCCAGCCAAAATGCAAAACGATGTCACAGAATTAACTTCATCACAAGAAAGTATAACCCATATTTACTTTTTAAAATTCATCTATGGTTTAGGCCTTAAAGGGAATGTACATCATTGGCTTTTGCTGTAATTTTCAGAAATGAACTATTTGAGGGGTTAGTATAATAGATCAAATATTGTTACACTGACATGTTTGAAGTTTTGTGTTCGAAAAAGGTGGAAAAACCAACAAAAACAAAAATGTTCAAGTAGTCTGGTTCCTTGACTCCACTAAAGATAAAATGGATCAATTTATAGATGCCGGAAAATTGTAAGGTAAGAGAACCAGTCTAGCTGGCCTGCACCCATTCATGAACATGTAACCAATAGCAAACCAAATTTGGACTGAAAAAGTGTAAAGTTGGAGCAGAAGTTGAAAAATAGTTAGGTTTTTCCAACGTTGGTCGGCCGACCACCGTTGGAAATGTATACAAAAATACCATTTTCTTGAAAATGACTTCACACCAGGTGCCATAATTTTACAGGATGCTTTATACTGTTATTTACCAACATCTTAGTAAGGTATTTCGTAAAAACTTGGTAGTTTTATTTTTCGATGTTTGCAAATGTTGTACATGTATATTCCCTTTAACAAAGCACATGTTTTTACAGCAACCCCCCCCCCAAAAAAAATCTTGCCAGCTGGGCACTCAGAAAACTTTGCCGTTGGCTGTGATGAGATCTTTTTACATTTGCCTTTTCATATTTGGTGAGAAAATCTTTGGCAACTGTGTACTCTTTCTGCAGCATCAATCCAGAAATGATTAGGCCTATAAAAAACTATTTTGAGTTTTTGCTTTGATTTTAGTTAAAAATGAATATAAAAGGCAAACCATCCTGAATCTAGCAAATTTTTACAAACCCAAAATATTTGTATATTACTTTTAGACAAGCACCACCAAATTCAGATTTCCTTTTCTCTTTTGTTAAGAGTTCATTTTTTTCCGTGGACACTTATAAAGTACTCACATGAAATGACTCTTAATTTTTGTTTTCAATAATTGTCTCTTTCAGGTGATGGTACATGTACACAATAAACAATGAAGATGACACCCAGGTCAGTCAATCCATTTATAATCTTTTTTTTATAAAACCTTGCATTTAATGTTGAGTAAGAAAATGAAAATGGAATTGAAGTAACTTTGAATTCTTGTTGTCATGAAACTTCTGACTCGACCAACTATTGATAATAATAAAGAAATGGTTTTGGAAGTGCTTTCATTTGGAAAATGCAAAGAGTGTGAACAGTGGTAAGCTTTTGAGGGGGCAGATCCCAGAGAGATGGCACTGGCAAAAACAGAATCATCATCAAGTAACGTGACATGGTTTATATATAGAGCTTGGGGAGTTTGGGGGACAAGTGCTGGATGCAACAGACATGTACAGTTCATTATCTTGTTTGTTTGCTGACATGTTTACTCTACACTTGAGTTTGTATCTTTGACCTGAGATAAGTTCATTGGTCTTTTCATATTTGGTGAAGTAATCTATTACAGTAGTATACTCTTTGTACTCTTTTGATTCAAAACTGGAAAAGTTTCAACGCCCAAAACTCCAAAATATACATGTATTTAGAATTTGCCTTAAAAGAAACTGACTCTATCACATTTTCCAAACACACATACTTTGTGTATTACTTTTAGACAAACTAATGCCACCACATTCAGACTTGTTTTTGCTCTTTGCATAATATTGTGTCAAGTGTAAATGAAGACCAATGTGCAAGTGACCATGTTACAAGTTACATCTACACCCCTAATCCCCCATTGCTCACAGTAACAAGTAACACTCCTTCCAAAAAGCCATCTGATTTCACATCGGTCACTTTATCACAATCAGATATTGTACATTTCAGCAAATGTTGATGATAGGATCGAGGGAAAGGAAGTCAGAGTTGTAACAAGTCACTGATTTTTGTGACTCGAGTCGAGTCATTTTAAAGAAGTGACTCAAGTCGAGTCGAGTCATTAGGTCAACAAGGTCAAGTCGAGTCGAGTCGAGTCGAGTCGAGTCACAGTGTGTGGTCAAGTCAAGTCGAGTCAAGTATTTAGCTCGGGTCAATTCGAGTCACAAATGTTTGAACACTATATAATAAATTACAATAAAAAGCAACAAACACAAGAGAGAAAGAATACAAGGCGCCAGTCTATTACGAAAATCCAAAGACATTAAGTATGCTGTATGGTACCCAACCAACAGTTTCCATTGCTAGCTCACGTCACAGATAAGAAGATGTGAAACTTCAGTCTGATAACTGTTTGGCTTCGGGTCTAGATTTTGTTGTTCGCTGATCGCTAACAACGTCAAAACCTAATTACATTATACAAAACTGTTTCTGATTATTAAAAGGTGGTCCCGTCCATATCCATTTTTTTTGGTGAAATCGGGACAAAAATTTAGCCAGCGTTCCACCAAGAGCTTTATAAGAAATCGCCTGAAAACAATGATGAAACCACAGATTGAGAGATGCGTTTAAAGTCTGGTTCCGGGTTTAGCATTACATGCTCTATGTTTGTTGTATCATTATGGAGGAAGGAAAACAGACGGCCGCAGCAGCTGTATATGAACGTACATTATTCGCGAACATAACGTGACGTGAATAAAAACTGGCAACACAAACGGCGCCTCGTAAGTCATTGCAAATATTTTTCGCAAGTAAGTTTTGCTTTTATTTTTGGGACTCGAGTCTTATTAGCCTTAGTCGAGTCGAGTCATTCTGATGAGGGACTTGAGTCGAGTCGAGTCATTTGCTCGCAGTGACTCGAGTCGAGTCGAGTCATTTACCCGTCGGGACTCGAGTCGAGTCACCAAAAAATGTGACTCGAGTTGGACTCGAGTCATTCCAACTCTGAAGGAAGTCACTGTCTGATGCAGTATTTGTGGAGAGAGTGCAATATAAGTTGAATCAATTATTCAATATTATTATTAGACAGTCACTTCACTTGGTGTATCTGCAAACCTTCTCCTATAGTTGTACTCACAACTACGCAACGCCTCAAAAATTACAAAAGCCGACCAAATTATGAAACACAGTCTATCATTATTGGCATACATTACATGTGTCTTTCTCATTAATTTTGAGTTTTTATACATTCAATTTCATTTTGAGCAGCTCTCTCATCTTGTGGAGCCTTGCTTCGTTGACCAACCGCCACGCCCAGTCTGGTCACCATGGCAACTGAACAGCCTCAGGCCCCGCCTCCAGCAGCCATTGGTCAAGATCGCCGCTTACCAATTCCAATCAGCAATGAGCGTAGTCGAGGGCAATGCAAGACACCTGTCAGCTTTGTTGTTGTACCTGTCAGTGATCTGTGTTACCCTGTTGGTTCACCAGGGAGTAGCATCTGGGCTTATACACCAGGTAAGCTCAGTTTTCATTTACCACACACTTTCATTAGATGCATGAAAACTGACTATATATGGAGCATCAAGATAATAGGAGTGTGAAATAGTCTCATATTTTCTTGGCTCGTTACTTACAGATCCTAATTGAAGAACTTAGCTAAAAGATCCTTGTTGATAACAAAATGCTGTAAGATCAACTCAGAATGATACAATAACATTTAAGTTCAGGCCATGAAAATATAATTTAAAAATAGACGACTGTGATTTCTAAACCCTATGGACATACAGGACATGCTGATTAGCAAAATATTAGTTGTCATATTTTCCTTATAAATGGCAGATTTTAATAAAGATTTTGTTTATTCTGAATTTTTCCCCAGGGAGCAGCGGTGACTGGATCCCAAGTAGCAACTTAGAGGACATACCAGGCACAGCCGCTAACAGGATGTCTAACTTCCCCCATCAAGACACTGTCAAGAGAGGATGGCTACCTAATGAACAAGTAAGCATCTCACCCCTCCACCACCCATACTCAATCAGCATGAGTTCAGGACTTGAAAACAGTCTACACTCAATTATGAAGGAAGGGAGCGTCATCGTCAATAGAGGGCGCTGTGGCATTTTTAAGTGTTGGGGAACTGATGAAAAGGTGAAACCATTGACCTTGTCATGCAGCAATGAAGACTTGCAGACTGGTCCAAGAAATCTGGAATTTATGTGGTGGCTGGAATCCACTCATGTCACCGACACCACGAAGTAACACTCTACCGTGTTAAACCATAATTTTTTTCGATTTTCAGTTTTTTTTATTTTTAAACATTATTCATCATCAAGGCCTACCATTGCCCGAAGTTTCAAAGCTTCAAGAGCTTTACTTCAATAATTACGCCAAGTATCCATGGCAACTTTTGCGCAAAAGTGACAATTTTCGTTTTCAGGAAGTAATACTCAAATTCCATTTACCATTGCAATGCATGGCACACACTCTGCTCATAAGTGAGCAAAAACGTTTTCACGAAGTAACACTCTTCTTGTAATAAGTTGTATGAGCGCGCGCGCGCTGACCTGAAGTTGCACTTTCCACGTGTTATACACATTGAAGAGTGTTACTTCGTGAAAATGAAAATTTACAGTTTCACAGCTTTTTCGATTTCACGAACTAACACTCATCTTTTTTCTCTTATTTCTTGTATATTTAATACACAAACGGGTGAAAAACAGCAGATTTAATAAATTCAATTCATCAAGTGTCCACAACGAGAAACCCAAATGAAAATACTCTGTCGTTTTGATGCAAAGTGTTGTTTTAGAAGGCGTTCAACTTTAGTTGCCGTTTTCTCTGATTGCTAGTTTTTACTGGTATGTAGATGGGTGTAACTTCATGGTGTTGCTGACGAATAATTGTCTGCCTTCGGTATTTATGTGTCAAACAAAGGTAGTCCAAAAATAATAAGTGAAAACATTTTGTCTTTGCTGAAATTTGTAGAAAATTTAACTCACACATCAAGCTAATGCCACAGTGGTCCATTTTTGTTGTATGGTTCATCTGAGTTATGGGATTATGTTGGATTTAGGAGACTTTACTTTGTGGGTTTCCTTGGGATTGAGGGTTCCAAGTGGAATAACACTGTTTTGAAGTTTGCTGAAATTGCATTCAAATAGGTAAAACAATGAAAACAGAGGTCTGGAATTGAATTCTTGAAAAGGCAAGGAAATTTCAAGGAGGCAGTGAGGCAAAAAGCAAGGCAATGGAGGCCATAGCTTCCTGAAATTCAATATCATTGATTTGAACATTTGTTACAATGAGTGGCAACCTTTCACACTTTGAAATTTTTAACCTTCAAAGAGAAATAATAAAAATTTCAATCAAGATAATCCCTTGTGAGTAAAGTTTACACAAGTCTTTATTCTGTGAATTCAGACAGGAAACCAAATTAATAGGATAAGTATTTGTGCTCATCTTTAGCAGGCATTTTGATGATTAAATGATCATCCACATTAGTGTTTCATTGATATAAATGCAAATGTACAAAGCTTGTAAATAATAACAATAAACAGGATTTCTATTAAAAACTTTAAAATGAAAACAAATAGAATTTTTTTTTTTAATAAACCAAGCGAATATTAAAAGACTAATATTTAAAATAATCTCAATCAACTTTCATAGTGATGTGTATGCTTTCAGGTACATTGTGCATATGATCATTTGCTTTTTGCAGGTTTTTTTTCCGAAGCAACAAAAGTGCTCAATATTTTAAGTAGGGTGCATAACAAGCATTCTGTTCAAGCCTTAGCTGAGTGGCTACTATACATTTTGGAGAAAACAGGAAACATAATGCACAAGTCTTTGGATCTCAACTGGATTCTGTAGGCACCCCATTTTCAAACCACCTTCAATGTTTGTTTTCTGACAATACCATTTCAGGTGGAATTATTTCACAGGGTATTTGTTACCAGTCCTATCTTCACTTTGAGCTTTCTGTCATTAAATCGGTAGGTACTTATCTGGGTAATTGCAAATGATCCTACGTGGCTTTAAAAAGTGAAGTCAACAGAATACAGAATAATTCAAAATGTACAAGCTGTAATTTCTATTATCAGAAAATGTAATATAGAGATAGCACAGTATACAATGAGTAGATATATGTTCTATTAGGAACAAATTGAAGAATAAACATAACAGGAGTTTACAAAGTCTTGTTGTGACTACTAAGATCTACATACAGTGGTAATTGTTAAACACTTAAAAGTCTACTTGAACATTTCATTTTTCCAATCAGATTGATACTTTGCAAACAAATTCATAATTTTTTGCTGAAACCCAAACTGAAGTGATGATTTTTTTTCTTCTGAATTTGGAACCAAAAAGGCAAATTAATGAAAACAGAAATGTGCAATTAAATTCTTGAAAAGACCAGGAAATCTGTTAGGTTTGTAAGAAAAAACGTGAATTAGAAAATTGCTAATTGTGTGGGACCTTTTCAACCTGGCAGTCAGGCCAAAATCAAGGCAACTCAGGCCATTTAGCTTCAGTCAAATTGATTTCTAATCATTCAAACTGAAGGGACATTTGAAAGTCTGAGAAAAAAATGTAAACACAATTTACAATCAAGATAAAAACATTCTTATAAACATAGTCTTCATTCTGTGAATTAAGACAGGAAACCAAATTAATTTTCACTCATCTTTAGCAAACTTTCAATTAGTAAATTATCTTCAATATACATGTAAATGCTTCATAAATTCAAATGCGTAAACAGAAACTGCAAAATGTAATATAACAACTGAGTAAATAAAGGCTTATATTGAACAGTAATCTGAGTAGGACCTACTAACTATCATTGTGATGCATATGCTTCAAACAATACTATTTCACAAAATACTTGTAGTATGGTTACATCTCAAGGATGAAGTGGTTGTAAAATTCTCTCAAAATTTCTATTATCAAAAGTACAATATATAATGGACTACAGCTTAGGCTTCTACTATTAAAAGCCTCTGATGAGGTCAAGATATAAACCTCATGAACAATGTCAACACAATTCTCCATTCTGTGATTGAAGATCTGAAACCACATTAATAGAATAAGCTTTGTCACTCATCTTTAGGATACATTTTAATAGACAAGTCAATTTACTTGAAGAGTAGTGTTTTATTAAATACTGGGTATATAGGCAGATGCCAACAGCAAAAAAGTAACAACAAATTAACTGAGTGAAGAAAGGCTTATCTTGAACACTAATCCTAACACTAAATTGAACTGAGTAATGCATTTGTAAAGTTTTAATTACTCAAAATAAATTTTAAGAATGTTGCATCTCAAGAACGAAATGATCCTAAACATTTCTCTGAAAGTCTTTGATATAAAAGATAGCAGAATATATACAGCAAGTTCCACCAGGTTTATGAAATCTTGGCTTCGTCCCTGGCTTTGGCCTCAGGCTGCATGATTTTTGTCCCCTGATGTAACTCCAGTACAATATTGGTCCATTTTCCTCTTTAGAGACACCAAATCCTGTCACACAAGGCCAATGGATGGTTGGTTCATTTACACTGAGTTTGAAAGTGGTAGGATTCTTAGGAATCTAGTGCCAGAGATGAAGCGGAAGCCACAACGAAGCCGGGTTTTCATAAACACCTCAAAAAGTTGGTAAGTATTGGATAGATTGATGGCAATCCATGTACTGGGTGAGGGAGGGGTGTTGGGTTGAGGAGGCGGGGGTCATAACATCAAACACCTCAACACCCACTAAACACCCCTCTCCTTTCAAATTTACCATTTAATTTAGACAAAGATAATAGATTCCAGTCATCGTACATGTACATGTAAAACAAATTGTCCCCCAATCAAATCAAATGTAACTAGTCAATACACTGTTTATATAAGACTTTGTATAGTAACATAATGTAATTGATGCATGGTTTATTTAAGAGTTTGTATGGTAAAATGGTTCACATCAGAGGGATCTGGCAGTTTGGATTTTTGAGGAGAGATGTGATATGAGTGGGACATGAATGTTGATTGTTGCTGTAATGGCTGGACAATTTCATCCTCAACATTTGCTGTTGGGATGATGATGATTGCTAGTCAATGTCATGTTGGATGACATCACACCTTGTGATATATCTTGACTGTGGAGAGGTCAGCCACTGCCAGCTGGCCCTCTGATGTGAATGTCATTCCCTGTGGGGCATGCAGACCCTGAGCCAGGCAAGCAAGAAACCTGCCATCTAGATCAAAGTGGTGAATATAACCAGTGCCAGACACACATTGGTCCACTGCAAGGTAGATGCCTGAGCTGTCACAGCATACACCCTTGCAGTTCCCCACTTGCTCACCATTAATGGTTGGATTAATGGTCCAGATTGTTCTACCTTTGCTATTACCAACCTCCACTTTCTTTGTGTCACCTCCACTGACCACAACTATATCAGTGTCGTCATCAACAGCCAGGAACCAAGGTGGAGTCTGCACTGGTATGGTGTGTAGGATCTCACCATCAGTGGCTTTGTGTTCAGTCCACACCATATTGTAGGTGTCGCCTACTAAGATGCTATTCTTTGTTACTGCTAGACTCGATAGGTTCATTTTTGTCTTGTCTACCTGATGCTTGGGCACAGTTGGAAACTGCTTTACAAGAGTGTTGTCTTTCATGTTGAACACCTTGACATACTTGCTTCCCTCTTCCAACACAAGCAAGCGTTGCTCAGGATTGTGGATGGCTGCAACTGCCACTGGACCTGTGGGTAAAGAAGAACTCAAATGTAACAGACATTGTATGCACAGTATATAAATGCACTGTCACTATTCTCAGTCCCCATGAAATATACCTTTGATAACCTACCTATAATAATGAATACATGGCGTGCTTTATAGCCTGTTCATGTAGAATGAATAGGCCTACATGAACATTGTGCAGTCTTCAGCCACCATACCGGTACATGTATAATTGTGAATAACTGCAACGTCTTGGAGATACAGTTATGCAAAGTCTTTTATAAAGTTGTACGTGCACTCTCTGTGCTATTCTCATTGTACAAACATCAAAATAGATTAGTCTTATATTTAATAGTGTTGCTTTTTTTTTTAGAAATAAAAAGGTTGCTCAATTTTCAAATGGAGCATTGAACAACATAGACCCCATTTTTAGACATCAAATAATTTTAAACTGTATAATAACAACTCGGTTCTTGCAAACTTTAAGACACCTTTCACAAAATGTTCCAAGATTGTTGCTTACATCATAAACTAACAACTGAAAAAAATGAAACTTGAAGCATATTTTTTTTCGTAATTCAAGGTCAAAGGTCATTTCCTAATGCATTTTCTCTGTGCTTCATGGTATGATTTTGGTTTTATTTTATGAAATGGAGGCCATTCAAAGAGCTTTAATATGATGTACAATTTGGCTTTATATTTGCTATAGTTTGGGAGATACAAGTATTGAAAGTTTGGAGGTCATGCTAATTAGTCAAAAGTTCGTTGACCGTATCTCATAATTTATCAAGCCAAGCTACAAAAAAAAAATCAGTTCTGGAGGTTTCTCATACAGGCCAATCATCACACCAAATATCATTAAAATCTGTGAGGGTCGGGTCTAAAATCGTGTTGAATTGACACAGAATGACACATTTTTGAGAGTCAAAATTTTGACCCCCAAACTTTGCTCTTGCAGAAAATAACACAAATTGGCAATTTGTCAAGATGGTTGTGTAGACGTTTATATCCTACTTTTAAATGCTCTTTGTAGCCCTATTGGGTGCTTTCCAGGATGTAGTGTCCATTTAAATCACTTGTAATTTGATATGGTGGTGACATTGTATGATGTCACCATTTTTGTCATGTTTGCATGTTTGTATAAAGATTTTCTTTTTTTTGCGTAAATCCATTTTTTTAAATTCATGCTGCTTTGCTTTTAGTATTTTGAATTCACCTAACTTTAATTTGACCGTCAACCCCAGAAGGTCAAGCAACTTCACGTGTACACAGGACAAAAAAAATGGTTCATCAACGTAATCAGGCCTAGAACATTCTACTCACAGGGCAGATTGGTTCGTTTGCAAAACAGCCTAAAAGCAAATTTGCTATTTTCTAAATGTTACAGACCCCCAAAATAACAATTCTTCTATATTATACCAACTGAAATCAGTAATGAAATAAATATAAGTTCTGTTGTAGTTTTGTTTTATTTTTTGTGTCTGTGTGTCTGTTTTAATTGTTTGTAATTTTTTTTTTTTTTTTACATAGCCCTACATGTAACAAAACAAAACAATGGAACATTTGTCGGGAGAACAAAACCTAATTTGTTGGATATCACTGCCAGCACATGAATTCATTGCCAGTATGTTATTGGTTTTCGTTCTCAGTTGTCTAATCTGCATTTGCACATGGAAGACTTTAATACTTATAAGTTCCGCACGATTATGAAAGTTTGTGTTGATGAACATGTGCATAATAGAAACTTACGTTGTAGGGGAATGGTTCCTTTGTGTTGTCCCTCATTGCTGCAGATGACCACTCGGTTGTTCCACCAGTCTGCCACAGCAATCTCACCAGGTTGAGTAGCAGTAATACCTCGACCAAAACCAAACTGTCCTGGACCATTTCCCTGTGTACCAAACTCACAACACTTCTCCCACTTGCCTTTGACTGCCAGCTTGCCCAGATTGATGTCACCAATCCTCTGATCCGGGGTGAAGCTCAGATATGAAAGCTTGGGATCAATCTGGGGAGGATTTTGACTCTTGAGTGATTTCAAGTCTTTGCTGATGATAGGGTATAGGGACAAAAAGTCACTGTCTGATGCAGTGTTAATGATATCCTGGGATGTCCCCAGCGATTGTTTTTTACTTTCAAGCATCAGTGTCAGTGTTGACTGATGCTCATCATATGTTCTGTTGCGATCCTGCTGGAGTTGTTTGATTTCTTCAATCATCTTTGTCTCTTGAGTTGTTATCTCAGCTCTCATTTTATCCGCTTTGTTTTTCACAGCTTTCACAGTCTTTGTGACGTTCTGTGTGAACTTTTGCTTAGCTTGTGATGAAGTGGCCAAAGCCTTTTGAAGTATTTTGATGCCGGTGGTGACATTTGGCAACATATCTTTCAGTGACTGTTTGTATTTGCGAGAAGCCTCTCTAGAGTCAATGTAGTGATGTTTTGGTTCACGGTGGTCTACTACAGTACAAGCTCGGCAGATTAACTCTTCACATGTCTCACAATAAAACCATTTCAATTCCCCCCTGTGTTTCTGGCATTTAGACTCATCTTCTTCTGGTGTTTTTTTCACTGAACTAGCCACCTGTGCTTGGAGTGAGACCTCCTCAACTATTCCCATCAAATGGAAATTTGTTTTCAGTCCTTCAATGCATGTCTCTGGAAGTACTGTCTCCCGTCGACATACAGGGCAAGGAATTGTTTGCTGACCTGCATACCTGCTAGTGTAGTATTGCTCCAAACATTTCTGGCAGAAACTGTGCATGCAATCCAGCACCTTGGGCTGTTTATATTTGTCTGCACAGATGATGCATTCAAGATGGGGACCGATGTTTTTTAGAGCTGTAGCCATTTTATCTGTATACAAATAAGGGAATAACAGTGTGAGGAGCCGGTCTTCACTGCGTGATAATGACCAGGTGTGTGGGTGACCGCTGTTAATGGACCGAGACGAAGTCGAGGTCCATTAACTGCGGCCACCCCCACACCCGGTCATTATCACGCAGTGAAGACCAGATCCTCACACTGTTATTCCCATTAATAGATACCTTTATAACGAAATAAACAGTTAATATGCTCCAATTTTGTGACTTTTTTTCCGGCGATATTTCCAGACTTTTTTGTGTTCATGTTCATGGGCCATGTTTTAGCTTAACAGCTATAACGACGTAAACTCAACAGAAACTGCTGCCGTAGCGAAACAAATTACAACAATGTTTTCATATCTTTACCTGATGGAGGAAGCTGAAATCTTGTTTACACATTCCTTGTGTCCGGAATCACAAAGATGCTTGGTTTAGGAAAGGTAAATATGTCGGTGGGTGAAGTGTTTTAAAGAAAATAAATCGTAGATCTACGTTTTCGTCATAAACGTCCTCAGTATATACTGCACTGCTGTACGATGTCGTTTCAAAACTTCCTTAGTACGCGCGCGCACGCACGCATCCCTAGCAACTGTGTTGCGTACGCACGCGTCAGTCTCACGCGATGGGGGTTGAGCGCATGTGCAGTGCTCAATTGTTGAAAGCTACCGCAGGACTGTTACTATATTTTGACCAATCATTGGCTTGCATGGGGCTGAACGGGGCTTGATCAATGCTGGTTCAGGGGCCATTTATTCGCTTGATCTTTGAAGCCGGTCCATTATCACCGTTAATGACCGGCCACGAGATCGAGTCTCGACCAATCAGAAACCATCAACTCTCCAAGGTATTTATTAATAGTATTTAAAAAGAAATTGAAATGGTTATAATACAGAGATGTAACTTCTTTAATACTGCACTGTCTGTGTGGGTTTCATCCGGGCGAAAAAAACAAATTTGATTTTGATCCACTTTCGAACAAGACATCAATTTTTGTGTGTGAGAATTTCCTGTCAAATGACTTGTACCGGTAAGCTAGCATTTAACCTCATTCAAAATAACTGACACTCTTTTCTTACCTTCTTTGAATTTCAACCAAATCACTTGAATACAAATCTTTCCAATTTGACACAGAGAGCACAAACAGTTGAGGCTTTTGATGGGGCGGATCTGGTAAAGATGGCGCTGGACAAACACAGCATCGTCATCAAGTCACGTGACATGGTTTATATATAGAGCTTGGGATTTTTGTTTTGCTGCATACATGTACATGTACGTCACACACGTACAATCTGTATATCGGTTTATCTGTGTACATATTTACTTGACACTTGAGTTTTGGACCTTAGACAGGTTCATGCATTCTATCTACATGTACATGCTGCACTTTGTTAAATTGCAATCGCATGCACCTCACCATACATTTAATCCCACCAGGGTTTTTTTTAATCATCAAATAAAAAAGTTACAAAAATATTTATTCCTCAAATCTTTCATAATTCACACACTAAAATTTCTTTTATCTTGTGCTATAAATACTGATAAAGAATTTTCAGTCTATTTGAAGTTATCATTTTGACCAACCTTGTTTTCTTTTCTATTGGCCCCTGGTTCGATTCCTTTTTATTTTAAGGTGTGACCTCAGTTATCCTTGAAGGAATTGAGGAGTCTTTGGTTCAGATCCTACTGCTTGCTTTCTTTTCTATTGACCCCTGGTTCGATTCCTGTTTATTCCCAGGTATGACCTCAGTTATCCTTGAAGGAATTGAGGAGTCTTTGGTTGAGATCCTACTGCTTGTTTTCTTTTCTATCGACCCCTGGTTCGATTCCTGTTTATTCCCAGGTGTGACCTCAGTTATCCTTAAAGGAATTGAGGAGTCTTTGGTTCAGATCCTACTGCTTGTTTTCTTTTCTATTGACCCTGATTCGATTCCTGTTTATTCCCAGGTGTGACCTCGGTTATCCTTGAAGGGATTTAGAAGCCAAATCACTGAGAGCCAATTTGTGAGAAATTGTTCCACTTTGATTCAACGAGTCACGTGTGAATAGTCGCAACCTTCAGAGGGGGCGGATCCCAGATCTGAGTCATGTACAGTTCATTATCTTGTTTGTTTGCTGACATGTTTACTCTACACTTGAGTTTGTATCTTGGACCTGAGTTAGGTTAATTTTTGACTTGCATACGTGTACATGTACACGTACACCATCAGGTTGCAGACTACTTAAATAAACTGCCATAGACCCCAGTGATAGATACCCCCACTTCCAAAATTCAGGGGAAAATACTCACAACTCTCCAAGGAGTTAAAGACACGTCAAATTAAATCTGATTTCGTCATCTTTCATTTTGTGCTCAATTTTGTTGTGGTAATCCAATGTCTTTTGTGAGAAATGTCCATCCAAAGATGATCACCCCTAAAATTTAGTTCCGGAAACCTTTCGCCATTTTGAAAACTGATGCCTATGCTGCATTGCAAAATAGAGCAATTAGGGCTTAATTCATCTAAATTCCACAGAAATACGAGCTGGCAATCCTGTTCACGGCTTCCACCTTTCTTCTCTTTTTTTTTTTTTACAAACCTTCAATTTCATGGCCCACAAAATGATAGCAAAAAATGAGGGCGTACAAATCGTGATTTGGCAGGCATAGGCAATTTTGGGCCTATTTACTGGCCTGCAACCATCAGTGTCCATACATATGTGCATTGTACAAGTATGTCATTCCAAACTTGTTTTAAGAAACTATTGATAATTGGTTTTGAAAGTGCTTTCATTTGGAAAATGCAAAGAGTGCGAACAGTGGTAAGCTTTTGAGGGGGCGGATCCCAGAGAGATGGCACTGGCAAACACAGAATCATCATCAAGTAACATGACATGGTTTATACATGTATATAGAGCTTGGGGAGTTTGGGGGACAAGTGCTGGATGCAACAGACATGTACAGTTCATTATCGTGTTTGTTTGCTGACATGTTTACTCTACACTTGAGTTTGCATCTTGGACCTGAGATAAGTTAATTGGTCTTTTCATATTTGGTGAAATAATCTCTTACAGTTGTATACTCTTTGTACTCTTTTGATTCAAAACTGGAAAAGTTTCAACGCCCAAAACCCCAAATTATACATGCATTGAGTATTTACCTTAAAAGAAACTGACTCTATTACATTTTTCCAAACACACATACTCTGTGTATTACTTTTAGACAAACTAATGCCACCGAGTTCAGAACTTTTTTTGCTCTTTGCATAATATTGAGTCAAGTGTAAATGAAGACCAATGTGCAAGTGAACATGTTACAAGTTACATCTACACCCCTACACCCCCCCCCCCTATTGCTCACAGTAAGAAGTAACACTCCTTCCAAAAAGCCATCTGATTTCACATTGGTCACGTTATCACAATCAGATATTGGAACATTTCAGCAAATGTTGATGATAGGATCGAGGGAAAGGCAGTCACTGTCTGATGCAGTATTTGTAGAGAGAGTGCAATTTGAGTTGAATCAATTATTCAATATTATTATTAGACAGTCACTTCACTTGGTGTATCTGCAAACCTTATACTCACAACTACGCAACACCTTAAAAATTACAAAAGCCTACCAAATTATGAAAAACAGTCTATCATTAATGGCATACATTGCATGTATGGTTCTCATTAATTTTGAGTTTTTATCATTTCAATTTCATTTCGAGCAGCTCACTCATCTCGTGGAGCCTTGCTTTGTTCATCAACTGCCACGCCCGGTCTGGTCACCATGGCAACTGAACAGCCTCAGGCCCCGCCTCCAGCAGCCATTAGCCGAGATCGTCGCTTATTAATTCCAATCAGCAATGAGCGTAGTCGAGGGCAACGCAAGACACCTGTCAGCTTTGTTGTTGTACCTGTCAGTGATCTGGGTTACCCTGTTGGTTCACCAGGGAGTAGCATCTGGGCTTATACACCAGGTAAGCTCAGTTTTCATTTACCACACACTTTCATTAGATGCATGAAAACTGACTATATCTGGAGCATCAAGGTAATAGAAGTGTGAAATATTCTCCTATCTTTTTGGCTTGGTACTTAATGATCCGTATTGAGGAACTTAGCTAAAAGATCCTTAGTGACTAAAAAATGCTGTAAAAATCAACTCAGAAGGATATGATAACATTTAAATTCAGTCCATGAAAATATATTTTACAAATAGACAACTGTGATTTCTAAACCCAATGGACTTACAGGACATGCAGATTAGCAAAATATTAGGTGTCATCCATTCAAGAGAATATTTTCCTATAAATGGCAGATTTTTAATAAAGTCCTTGTTTTTTCTGAATTTTTTCCCTAGGGAGCAGCGGTGACTGGATCCCAAGTAGCAACTTAGAGGACATACCAGGCACAGCAGCTAACAGGATGCCTTACTTCCCCCATCAAGACACTGTCAAGAGAGGATGGCTTCCAAATGAACAAGTAAGCATCTCACCCCTCCACCACCCCACTACACTCAATCAGCATGAGTTCAGGACTTGAAAACAGTTTACAACAACACAAGACAATTAAAGTTGGGTCCAGAGTACACACAGTCCTATTCAATTGATTTAGTCCATTCATTGGTGTTACAGGGTAATCCTATACAACAGCACTGCCCATCAGCTCACAAGTGACAGTGAGTAGATCCGTGAGGTACAAAGAGGACTGTAGGCTGGCCCTCTGGGACCAGCACAAACTGAACAGCGATCATTGAGAAAATCAAATAGAGAAATCAAAACCTCATCAAGATGTACCTTGTGTATCTCAAGACATTACTGAAATGTCATCATGCTTGCGAGCTCTAACTTTATTCCCCTGGTTATTTCCTACAGACACCTGTCAGCCGGTTTGGTGAGCAACATGAGCCAATGTCTGGCATGCATCATAACATGGCCATGGGAGATGGGGGAGGGGTGACAGCTCATGGAATGGCAGGAACGGTCTGGAACCCTGTAGCCACCATGCAACTTCATGGCACCAATCCAAAGGTGGGTCCTGTCTCAAAGCTTAAGTCCGTGTCAATATTATCAGGCTATATATGTGAGGCATTCTGGCAAAGTGAGAGGGAACTGGGCACAGGCCGTAGTGGAGGGAAAATGCAAGAAATTTTTTTATTTTTTTTTGGATTTTCAGATTTATTGATATTTATTTATATAAGTAAGTAAAACATGAGTCTAAATATCATAATACAAGATAATTGGCATCTTTCATTTTCACGAATACAAAACTCGAAACTTTACAGGCCTTTTTCTTAGTATTTTGTTTTTTGACATGTCGATAAATGCAAACTTTAAAGTGAGCCATACACTGTAACTTGTAAGGGAAAGTCTGATTGAAGTGCAACAAACAGTATTGTAAGGAGAATTGTATCCTCTTTCCTAATACCTGCGAACCCTCATTTCAACCTCTGCCCAGTTCTGTCTCATTTTGCCAGAACGCCTCACATATATGGTCGTCAGTAACACGTGTCTATCAGCCGCTTTCATATCGGCGCATAATTGCTAGCTGCAGCAATTGGGAGACAGTCTTAAAATCTGTCCTTATTTTTTATAAAAGATCATTTTCTTGAATATTTACTGCAAAATCCTTCTTAGGCCAAGTTCAATGTATTCCTGATGAAGTGAATACCCAATCTTTGACGTTTTTAAACGTTAAAGGTCCAAGTGGCTGCTCATCGGATAACTAAAATATTCCCTGAGAAACAGAAGTGTTAAGGGGAATTGATTAAGAAACAAAAGAATTAAATATTCCCATAAATACCACCTTTTTTATGTTGCAGGGAGGGGTTCTAAAAGAGTTTGTTGACATGAACTACACGTTCTAAAATAAAATTTGCACAACAGCATTGCATGTAGTTGGGATCAACTACCCTCAGTCACCCATCAAAACGATCCGCATTTTTTTACTTTTAAGGTTTTTTAATTTAAATTTGATAAATTTATTAAATTTGCAATTTTGTCTTCTATTTTCCCAGGTTTGGGGAGCATCACGGAGCCAGTCAGTCATGTGACATGAGAACACCTCTCCATCCATTCCTATAGAGGGCGCTGTTCGTCACAGCTGCAGCATCCACAAGAGATAGTTAAGTTAATTAATTTTTCTTAGATGGCCAACAGCCATAGAGGGTGCCATAATGCTATCTGGTTTGTTCACAGACATATTAACACATAGACCGCCAGTCGTGCGTGTGAAACAGTGATTTAATAATTGGGCAAAATGTTTGTTGACAGCGCGCATAACTGCGATGCCACTCAATGCGCCAACGCGCTTAGTACAGTACATACATTGAAATACAGTTCATAAATTATTTTTGTAAAGGCTGTATTACCCAAAAGTTGCTTGAAAATGTTGGATACGGTATTGTTTTTAATCTACGGAAATCATATTTAGTTCACAAGGAATTGGTTTACAATCAAAAACTAACTTCACAATTTTTTTTTACATGTTTGACAGGAATTCTTCAACTGTGTGTAAAAACCCTATATACATGATATACCGAGAGGTGAATTTCCCAATAGTTTTGATTTTAGTCGGGCGCTAGGCAAATCACGAAATGCTCATGTAGTTTGAATAGAACCTGGTAGTCTATGCATTTAAGTCTGTGGGTTTGTTGCCTTAACTAACAAAAGAGCTGACGGCATAATTCAGAGAAAAGAATGAAAACAAAATAATTACGCCTTGGAATAAAAAAAATTGTATGAATTCTGTGGAATTGAAGATGATTGTAAACTGCGAGTAGTTTGTATTTAACTTTATTTATGTTAGGCCAAAAAAAAAAATAGTCGGTCTCTGGTCAGTGCGCGCGTCGATTTTAATCATGCGCATCAATCTTTTTTATTTCCAAAATGTTCCGCGGTAGCTCCAACAGCACCCTCTATTGCCGCACCTCCTCAAATGTTTTTACCAAAGAGCATCAAGGAATGGGAAATTGCACCAAGGCAAATAATCGAGGGCATCAAGGCAAATTATGGAGGACACCAATGTACATGAGGACACCAAAAAAAGTACCCCACCTTGTCTGTATAATCAAAGCTTGAAAAAAACAAACAAACAAAGCTGCGTCGCCGCATCAATTCCAGAACTTTGGTCTGACAAGAGACTGAGTATTGTTTTTTTTGGCCTTACTGTAAAGCAATTGAAAAATCCTTTGCTTCTTTGTTGGCTGAATGTTGTATGTAAAAAAGATGATAGGCTACTAATGTTAAATTTGAAGTTAATTGAAACCAATCTTGGAAACTGTCAGTTGAAGAGATGTTTTGTTGACAAGTACATGTCAACATTAAAGCTCAGTGAACCTGGGTGACCTTTGACCTCTGTTGTCTCAATAGTAGTTTATCAGTTAAAATGTCCATTCCATAGAGCTGTAGTAAATTATGAGAGCGTTTACTCCTCATTCCCTTGCACACTTCAAAGTTGTCTGAGCTCAACACAGTGCTTGAAGAATGTACATGTAGCGAGATCAATGTGCAAGTCACGTCGCCAATATGACATCAATTCTTTTGAGTTTTGTGTGTTAATGTGTTGCCAAAATGTTACAGATACATGGCTGAGCAGGCACGTGATCTACAGTGAAAAGCAATTCCCAAATCGGTTCGGTGCACTAGTGTGAAAGCACAGACTGAATAATGAAAGTTGTACTAACAGCTTTGAAATGTATCAACATCAAACATTTTGAGCTAATTCCCTTTGAGATATGCACAAACATGGATGCATGCGCCCAGCAAGCTTCATCCTATTCATATATGAATAAGCTCTCTAATAATTTACTATAGCTCTATGGCCTGATTAAGTGCACATGTGCAGATACAAATCTAGAATAACAGGGAGTGTGTAACAATTCCAATAGTTTTTGTTGCAACAATAAAACAAACACAATGGAGTGTGTTCAGTGGAAAAAGTACCATCAGAAAAATGCAAGTCAATTGAAATTTTGTTTGTTGGTTGGTTGTGATGACGAGGCCCGGATTCTCCAATAGATCTCTCTCATAGGACGCCATCTTTGTAGGAAAATTACAACTGCGTGTTCAACACCATGTGCGCATAGTTTGCAAAATGTTCTAAACATGCGCTCCTGTTGCTTGGAATGTCTCCAAAATACGGCGCAGCCGATGCGCGTCACGAAGATTTGAAAATTTGACGTCTTAAAAAGCCCAAATTTGAAGAGGAATTGTCAAATTTAATATTGTAGAGTGTGTTAATTCAGCAGGAAACAAGTAAAATGCGAATTAAATCAACCATTAAGGCAAAGTAAAAAAAAAAAGTTTCTCGTCTCCGCCTGCTTCCTTTTTGGAGGCCGCCTGGATTTTTTTATTATTTTTTATTTTTGAAAAAGAAAAGTGCAGTCAAAAAACACGGAAAAAGTCCACAAATTCATCGGAAAATAAATTGTAGACAACACAAGTCTAAATGACACTATAAAATATGTTCATTTCTCTTGTCCAACTTATCTGTCATTTTAAAAGTGTCTTTGAACAGTGAAAACACCAACAGTTGCAGGAAATTTTAATATGGCGGCCATCTTGAAACAAACAAACAAATTAAAAGCCCCGCTTCCTCCTTTTTAAAAAAAAACCAGACGAGAAACATGTTTTTTTTTCCTCGACCTAATGAAACAGCACATTCTCGTTGTCTGGAGGATATCATGAGAAATGCCCATTGTATTAAAGTGAAATTTCCTCCGTTATAAACTCACCATGACGTTTTTGTGAAGCCTGAAAAATTTTAACAGGAATATCAAACAATACAGTTAATGTAACTAAAACAAAATGTTTCTAGCGAGAAAATGGCAATGCAAAATAATGCAAAAAAAAGTCCCAAAAAACCCCACACACTGGTTTTTGAGACGATGTCTATTTAATTTCAACAGCAAATTAATTCAATTAATATAACAAAAACAACGAAGTGTGTTCTGCGTGAAAATTTAAATCGGAATGAAAAATATTCATAATACGCAACAAGAACAACACATTTGTGTGGACGACAATTCTGGAAATATATGCTGAGCTTAATTAAAAATGTGTCCATCGATTGTTCATAAAGTAAAGTCTTCAATTAAGAACTCCATAAAATTTCAAGAGGAGTCGTGTAACAATTAAAAAATGATTAAACATTTAGAAAAGTACTAATGTAAAATATAATCAAAGCCGTAGAAACTTTGCATTATACTGTTGCACTGAGAAACAAATCTAAGATTTGCAAACATTTAGGCATACCTCTAAAAATTAAGTGTAAAAATTACTCCTGTTTAAAAATCCTGAAATTTTCACCGGCACCAGACTATCATGTGACCTCTAAACACCTTAACAAGAGAGGGCGATAAGCCATACAAAATCATTGAAGCATGAAAACCCATTTTGACAGCACGCTACACGGTCAAGTGAGGAAGGCCCTTCAACCAGGTTGTATCGAGACCCTCAGGCTGAGAAGTCTACCTCCACCTCACACACCACTGGTAACCTCAGGCTACGAAGTCTACCTCCACCTCACACACCACTGGTAACCAGCATTCCATCAGTCATATGTGGTCTCTAGCAGGCTTCAACAAGTTCAGCAATCTCAAAAAAGGAAAAGGCTAACTACCAGTCTGACTGATGATTGGCTGCAAAGACAGATCTGAACTTACAGGACAGGGCAGGGCTTCAGAAAAGAAGTCTGAATATTCAGTCCAAACTTTTGTCCAACTAATAAGAGGAAATTATATTCCCAAATCTAAGTCCAGCCAAATAAACTCTTAAGTCCAAAAATCCCCAAGACCCTTCCTAGTCCTATCAACTTGCAGACCTATCAGTCAGGAAGCCCTTCAACTAATATTCCAGTTCCCTCTCAACCATCAACCAGTCAGCCCAAAGTCCCAAAGCCTACCCTCCAGCTCCAAACCCCTTCAGCTCCCAACTTCCCAACCTCCCAGCCTCAGACCCTCAGATCTGAAAAAATTTCAAGGGGTACCCCTTGATTTCTGAAATTCTGTCAAAAGCTGAAAAATTGTCTAAGTCCAACAACCTAAGGGTTTTAATTACGATAACCGGAGATTTTTTCAAGAAAGTGCCATGGCAGAGCGGAAAAGAAGAGAGCTGGCATGCAGAAGGTACGCGGTTCAACCCTGCTCCATGCTACTATTTTATATATTTTTAAAATTTTATCACTGCTGTGAGGAAAAATTCTCCTCCCGGGTCCCCGGCTGGGTTTTGAACCGGGGACCCGGCACCTGGCGGTCAGCGAGCTAGACCGCCAGGCCACTGGCCTCTTCGAAAATTTGTTCTCGGAACTTATATTTAAAGGTTAGATTGCGCAATTTAAAAAAAAAAAAAAAAATGGCCGCCTGGGCTCATTTGAATAATTGAATAATAAAATGCAGAAAACTGAATATTCAGAAAGAAACCGCAACAGACCCAAAATTCTGGTTCTCAATTTAAACATTTATTCCATATTCTTACTATTGTTGTCCTTTATTTACACTTTTTAAAAACACTTTTGTTAATATTACATTTTTTAAACACATACATGTATTTAACAAGAAACACAATTCTGTTTAATAAATGTAGACGTTAATTTACTTCCCTTTACAAGATTCTAAATTTGTCAATGCTCAATATTTCAAAAGCAAGTCCTACGTTAAATTTGTTCACTAATTTTATTCTTCGGGGGGGGGGGGGGGGGCGCACAAAGTTGTTTTTAACTATAAAAGGCCAAACTTTTGTTTGAATGTGGAAATGGAGTTTTTAAATTTGGTAATCTTGATTTTACTTGAACTTGTCAGTGATTTTTGCCTCAAATCTTATACAACTATTTTTTTTCAAATTCTGAAATGTTTTAACAGCTTCAAAAAGAAAAACAATACCAGTTCCAATACAGTAACGCCTTATTTCAGGAATAATTGCTTGTACAACTAAATTTAAATAAGTTAAACATTGATTTACAAACATATTACAGATAATATATGCATACTGTCTATAAGGAATTCATGGGCAATAGAGGGCGCTCCTCATTGAGACTAATTTTTATTTACCACAACTAGGGTGCACAACATTGTTTAACTTTATCTCATTGATATACAAACAAAAATCTCAATTTTAAATTTAAACAAATGATAACTACGCAAATGAACAAAAATACAATAATGCCAAGTAACTAATTGGGCAAAACCAGAAAATCTACAGTTTTAGCAAGTATATGGGCAATTCCATGGTGACAGACATTAGAGAGTTTCGGCAGGTTTCAAATTCGCATCAGTATCACGAATCAGAACAATTTTACGCGTGACGCCATCACTTCAATTCTTCTCGTACGCTAATCGATAAAGTGGCATAGGTTTTAATTCAAATTTTTCTCTTAAAGAAAAATGATAACCACCTCTCATTCTTAATTTGATGATGTACAAGACATAACGTCTGATTGCAATTAGAAGTAAAAGATTGAATTTTTCAGAACAATTTTACGCGTGACGCCATCACTTCAATTCTTCTCGTACGTGAATCGATAAAGTGGCATAGGTTTTAATTCAAATTTTTCTCAAAGAAAAATGATAACCACCTCTAATTCTTAATTTTATGATGTACACGACATAATGTCTGATTGCAATTAGAAGCTAAAGAGTGAATTTTTCACAATGAATTTGGAGATTTTTGTGACAAGAAATTATGACCCGATTTTCTCAGATCAATAGGTATACACAGAGACGCCATGCGAAAAACTGGAATTTGAACACGCCATTATGTTTGCGTACACTAATCAGCCGCATCATATAAATTCCAATACGCATCATTTTTTTCGGGATGAAGTGTCTTTACATTTTTCAACCTGTAGACGCATTGATCTTTTCTGTCCTTCGCTTACAGAACTCTTTCTTTATTGTGACCGACATTACATAAAAAACAACACAGGAAACAAATGATAGATCAAATTTGAAATTTCTCTTCATGTTAAAGGCTCAATGATGTCATTTTATTTATCATACATGTCATAGCCAGTATAACAGTGTTTACATGTACAGAGATGTAAAATGAAAGTTTGTATTAATCATGATAATTGAGAAATGAGACAATGTGTATCAAAAACTTTCTGTTCATATTCAGGTTTATTTCTTTATAGTTTTCAACAGTGACTGTATGCAAAGACCAAAATAATTTTTCAATATCCAAACTCAGAGTGTTTTAGAATTTAAGAAAATCACAGACATAAAAACCTACGTGTATATACCATCAACACCTAAAAGTAAATTATTGCAAAGTGAACAGAATAAATATTTAAGTTGTCTCCAATAAAAAGTGTGTAAATAGACTTGCATAATTAATACATATTTCTTTATTACTAACAATTTGAGGTCTCAACGTGTTAAACAATATTAATAATATTAAAGTTGTGTGAATAAACTTGCATAATTAATACACATGCTAAACAAATTCCATGCTCAATTTTAACTGCTTGTTCTCATAGTTTTATTCCTGCTCACTTATGAAACTCCTCATGTTCTGTTCTTTTCTGTCTATTCCTCTTGTGGTCTTCATACAATCCTTTTCTTCCAAGTTTTGTTTCTGCTGTGTCTTTCTCTGTGCTGCTGTAAGTTGCAATATGGCTGTACATCTTTCCTGAAAAATAGAAAATATTCAACAGAATTATCAATATTTTGTACATGTTTACATTAACACAATTTTACTTGATATTTTTCTAGCAATACCAAAGTTATCAAATGAACCAACAACAAAACGAACAAGATAAGTTAGCCAATGTTTAGTAATAAACAGGGAATTATGAATATCAAACTATTTGGTGCCAAACAATAATTCAGTTCTCACAGGGAAGACTTCCCCCACCCCACCCTACCCCATCAGAATGGACAATGATAGACCACTTGTGCCCAAAAGCAAAACAAATATATTTTACATTTTATCAAAGGATTACAGATTTCCAAATAAAATTTTAAAAAGACTTGTTTTGTGAAAAATATAGTCATATATGTTGCTCAGACAGTGGCTTGGCACTCAGTTGCATTTTGGTTCAAAGAGTTGACTATTTGTATGTGTATGGACTCAAATAACGTGTGTACTTGTATTTTCTTCAACTACGGACTGTGCAATGTGACTGGCATTACGTTACGCTAAGAGATTGTGACTGCATGACATTACATGTGGCCGACATTACAATATTTCATGGCTGGCCTAAGCATTAGAACTACAATGTAAACAAAATGCTAATATTCTTATCAGAACTCAAGCTAAGAAACTTTTAACATAATTATTCATTAGGCAAAAAATGTAGGTACATGTATTTACAAAGAAAAAAAGATCTGTTTTGGTTAATTATAAATAACTAAATTTGTATCTCATTTTACAAGCAAAGTCTGACGAAAATTAGCAACTTAAAAATAATATCCATTTTCACAAAGACACCCTAAAAAATGGTAACAAAATATTGAGAGAAAATATTAATGAATAGATAGCAAAAGACTATTAAAATTCAAAATTCCTTACCAGTGCATCCATAAGTCATCATGACGTCATTGCAGACTTTGATGTGATGGTGTACCGTAACTCACAAAATAGTGCGCGCATGGGACGAAACTATTCAGTTTTAAAAACGCCAAGCTATATTGTGTCACTTCAGCAAATCAAACTTGAGCAAACCGTGAAATAATTGTTTGGTCTTGTGTCTCCACCAGCATGGAATTGCCCATATAACTTTTTTCTCATTTAACAGCCTAGTACATTCTAAATAGGCCCAAGGCACCTTGGATGTAGTTTCTCTGATGTTTGATGTCATCACAAAGTGGTGCAGTTTCAGGGCATTCCAGCATCAAGAGCAACGTCTTCTTGGTAAAAGCAGGAAAACCTGCAATTCAAATTGAAAAAGAAAATAAAAAAGGAAAATTGAATATAAATAGCATATACTTGTATACATGCAGTTTATGATTACTTGTGTGCAGGCTTTTGTAGCTTTTGAGGCTCCACTGATTTGGGAGATCGACTATATGTAGGGAGGAGTTTTGAAGATAGAATTTAGAATTGTAGCTTCCTTTGCGTACACATCTACAGCAAAATTTTAGTATGAATTTATTATCAACCCATAATTCACACAAAAGCAAGTACATGAACTCAAGTATATTAAACAAGTTCTTAGCTTACAAATGTACCTGAAACATGTGTTCCTCTTCTTGTGGTTCTGATAGCAGGCTTCCGATGACTTGCAAGAAGGACAAAGTCTCTCAGGTCCTGTCTTATCAAAGAATGTACAAGAAAAGCAATATAGATTAGTTATGGTGGCAAAAAATACTCGCTAGGGTGAAGACAATGTTTGACTTCAGATGATTTTCTATCTGGAATCAATGACTGATTTTAAGAGGCAAGCGAAATTTTATAGATGCAACAAACAGAATGGAAAGTTACAGAACAGTCTATGATTGATCTTTGTGTTCATAGAGCTGTCTAACGTGCTATAATAAAAAATATCTACAGGAGCCCCACCAGGGAATGTTAATGAATGAAATCATGTCATAGGCCAATTCACTGGAGTAATCACTTTTTCAGTGAATACAAGAGAAATTTTGATTGTCTGCAAAGGTTGTCATCACAAGAAGCAGGTTATAGTAATGATCACCTGTCTTTAGGTTTAGGCATTCTCCTGATGACAGTCACAGATCACTGACTAAATCTTCAAATCATCAGAACCACTTCTCTTTTTAAAGACTGTCACTTCACATGCTGTTCATATAGAACTTTTCCCTAGTGATTTCTATCGTATTCAACATCACCTACCTAGGCAGAGTCAGCATCCAGGATCTCTAGTAGCTACCATTAAACATCAGCGTTGTTAACTTGAGCTTTGTTCCTCCACCCCTAGCTACCGACTTCCTCAACGGGATGTGCTCTAGCGCCCATCGCATGGCAGATGGCAGAGAGGTTGGAGCAAAACTACGTCACTGAAACATCCGTCTGTGGTGGCAAGAAATTGGAGATGCAGTGGAAGACCAGGAGACTACTGGTGAAAGATGCTGGTCATCACCTGGCTGTCAGCAACCTCCCTATGGATGCCACAGACAAAGAAAAGGAGACAATACCATCAACGCATGTCATTTGTAACCAGCATGCTTTATATGCAATTGTTGACCAGCTAGGAAGGCAGCTGCAGCTTGCATGTGTCACACTTGATCGGCAAGTTTCTAATATTCAAACATTTAGTTAAGTGCAGTTTTGAAATCATCAAATACTAAATTATTTGAAAATGGACAGCCCTACAAGCCATGTTTTAGTTGTAGCCAGCAGACCAGCAGTTTATAGTTCACAGTATTTCATTATAAGTTCCTCCTAACTGGAGTTGTTTCCTGCTTGGGTTTGTCTGCTTGTGGAGTCATTGGTTTGTAGATCATTGCTGTGCTTTTACAGTCATTTTCCAATAATGCTGCGTGGCTTTTCACTTTTTTCCTGCTGTCCTTTTTTTATACCTTAGTTTTTCTCTCATTCTCCAAAAATGTTATCCAATTGTTTATTATTTTTATCCTTGGCAAAGTTTTATTTTTCTCCTTCGCAAATTCCTTTTGAGTTTTTTATTCATTATTTGATCCAAATTGAGATTTCTTTTAAGTATTTAAGAAGACTGCTTCTTTTAATGATACAAATTGGTTTTATGTGTGTGAATGATCTCCTTTTTATCAGACTAAATAAAAAATTTGAGAAGTCTATTTAATTTCCTTGATTCCATTTTTTCCTGGTCCCATTTTCCAGAAGTATATTGCGACATAATAATTTCAACCAGGATTTTTTCTTATTGAGCCATTTTTTGCCGTTACACAAGTATCAAACATCTTGGAGAAAATACAATATTTACAAAATACCAAACATTTAACTAGTCATAACTAGAACGACATTCCATTTCATACCTGAAAACCTAGCTTTCCCACCACTTTCCCACCACCACTACTTCAAAAAGTTCTGATGAAGGTTGATTGGTCAGTCAGTTGTAAATCCACTCGTGAGAAACGCTCTCCTCTGCAAGGCTATCGTGCTGTCTGTGTAGTCCACCTGCAGAGGGAGATGTGAGATAGAAACAAAAAGGCATATCAGAGTCAAGTCAACTTGAATTTGATTGAGAACAGTGGGGTCTTAGAATAGTGGATCATCAGACAATTTCAGAATTTGAGAACATCTCAATTACAAAGAAGAAATAAGACATCAATGTTGTAGTTACTATCAAGAGGACATGCAGACTTGAATTGATCTCAAGAGATTATGGAGACTATAATCGGATGACCACATTTGAAAGCAATTTCTGAGGTGGAACCAGTGGATACTTTCAGGGCATATGCACAATCAGCGAATCATTTGTAGTTTGAAAAATATGTTTACAACTTGCAAAACTGTCCTTCAAATACACGTGTAAATTTTTGTGACTACAGCAGAGAGTCTACTCTCTACCTTGGAAGTCAACTACAATTGCTACTTGATTTCAAAGCACAAGTGCAAAATCAGAGACCTTATTAAACTGGTAGTTCTTGCTAACAATGACTGCGGCAGACCTTGTCTCCTGCGTGTTTCTCAGAGCCCATACTGACTATCAGGAAAGGAAGGAAAGAAAAACAAGAAATTCATGTTTGATATCTGAAGGAAATAAATGATCAGGGCTGAGAATAACAAAAAAAGTATTTTCATTACAAACAGGGGAATTTAAAAAAAAAATGCCAAAATGCATCCCAATACCAATTTTGAGCCATCGATCACGTCAAGAATAATTTTCAAAAGTCAAAATGCATGTAAAAAAGTACAAAATCCGACTTGAGTATGTATTTTAGCTCTGACAAGGACCTCTGAATTGGCAAATGTGCAATCATAATTTCAGCCTTTTCTTAGGTTTATCCGTTCCCTTTGCTGTCTTGAATTGATCATCTTCAGTCAGATGTTTTGCTCACCTTTGATTAGAATGATTCATTGTCACCACAACAAATTCCTCTACAGCCTCTCATCTCCAGTGGGGAGGGGGAGGGGTTTAAACTGCAATAACAAAATAACTTGCAAAACAACATTATCCAGTGGCAAATTGTTGAATTCTGTGACAATTAATCAATTCAAACTGGAAATTGTTTAGTTTTGAAACTGTTCAATTTGCGATTGCCTTTTGAAACAAACTGACCTGACAAAATCAATTTCCCAAGCAAAGCATCAAAAGCCATTAATTTAGAATGCACTTCAAAGTACAGAATTTGATTTGTTCACAGACAAATGTCCAATTGTAATTTCAGCCATTTTGAAGATGTTTCTCCATTCCTTTTGCTGTCTATAATGGATCAGTTGCAATCAAATGCTCACCTTGGATTGGACGATTGGATTCCCCTGAAGTTGTTGGTTCATCGCTACTTTCCCTCATGGGCGTTGCCAGGATTTTTTCTAGTGGGGGGCAAAAAATTGTTTTGCCAAAAAATGCTTGTATTTCTCAACACATTCTCGATTTTATCAGTTTCAGAGGGGGGGGGCAGTGACATTTCCCCCCCCCAAACTCATTAAATTTACACCACTTTGTCTTCGCGCCTCTTTTTCTTATTCTTTCTTCCTTTTTGTTTTTGCTTTTGGGGGGGGGGGGAGCAAGTGCCCCCCCCCCTCGCGACGCCCATGCTTTCCCTCTTCTCACATTATCCAGTGGCAAATCGTGGAATTTCTTCTTTAAATTAATCAATTAAACTGAAAAGCGTTCAGTTTTGAAACTGTTCAATTTACTGATGCATTTTTAAACAAACTGACCTGACAAAATATATTTTAAACCGTCTCATGCAGAGCATCAAAAGCCATTAACTTAGAATGCACTTCAAAGTACAGAATTCAATTTGTTCACAGACAAATGTCCAATCGTAATTTCAGCCGTTTTGAAGATGTTTCTCCATTCCTTTTGCTGTCTATAATGGATCAGTTGCAATCAAATGCTCACCTTGGATTGGACGATTGGATTCCCCTGAAGTTGTTGGTTCATCGCTACTTTCCCTCATGGGCGTCGCCAGGATTTTTTCTAGTGGGGGGCAAAAAATTGTTTTGCCAAAAAATGCTTGTATTTCTCAACACATTCTCGATTTTATCAGTTTCAGAGGGGGGGGGGGGCAGTGACATTTCCCCCCCCCCAAACTCATTAAATTTACACCACTTTGTCTTCGCGCCTCTTTTTCTTATTCTTTCTTCCTTTTTGTTTTTGCTTTTTTGGGGGGGGGGGAGCAAGTGCCCCCCCCCCCCTCGCGACGCCCATGCTTTCCCTCTTCTCTCCAGTAAGCTTCTCATCCATGGTAGGTTGTACCTTGCAGTGTAATCAAAAACAAAACAAAATAATCATTCAAGTTTTCAAGGTACATTTTTTACACAAATCTTGTCCAAAAATTTCGTATTTCCAATGTTGTTTTGTTGATTAGAAACACAAAAGCAATTTCAATTGTTTTGTGTTTTACTGTTTTGTTCTCTTTAGTGTGCCCAGAATTTTAAAGCTAGATTCAGAATGTCGAGTTAAAACTGGAGTGAAATTTTGAGAGGTGGAATCAATTTCAATTTCAACAAAAGGCCTTTGTTTAGCTACTCTGAATTCCAGTCAGAAAAAGAGGAGGCAAATGTTTTCCATTGTTAAAAAGGTTTTAAAATCTTTCCCCCGAAAAACTATTAGTTTGCTTGATGGACAATTAATTCAAGAAACAAATGGAACTATTGTTTGGTCAGAATTGAAGTCTATTTTGACTGATCAGCAATAATTTTGATGTTTGTTGAGAATTATTTTTCAAAAGTTGCATAATTTCAAATTTGACGAGTAATTCCTTCTTAAAATCTTACCTTAATGTTTTTAGATGTAAACCTTCTGGAAGCACATCCTGGTAAGATTAGTTTAAACAGGGCCACCACGTGAAGGTCCCAGGATACCAGCCCCAAACACGCTTTCAGTATCGTCAGGTCCATTGCTGTGCAAAAGGCCGGCCCCGGAGGGCCATGCACAGTTGCCGACTGTCCGGTACACCCCCCCCCCCCAACCCTGAAGGATCAGGAGAGTACCCTAACCTATATGCGTGCCCCCCTCAGTCCATCCCCCATTACAGGTTCATGGGTTCTGAGGAAGTAGCAGCGTTTGCCGGCTGTGAATACGGGGCCACGCCCCTATAAAGAGGGACGCACTACCTACTCCTTTATGCAGGGGTGTGAGTGACCACTGATCAAAATAGCTGAAAACAGCTGAAAAAGGTGTAAAAAAGCTGAACTTTGGAAAATTCCTATACTTTTGTGCACAGCAAGTGAGGGAGAAAAGCTGAAATCTAAAACAAAGAAAGCTGAAATCAGCTTTAAAGCTGAGATTTCACACCCCTGTTTATGGCACGGCATCCTAGGGTTTCCAGGCCGCTGCGTAGGACCCACGTCCCCTCGTGAAAGGCGGACCTTCCACGCGGACGCAACCCGCCCCTTGGAACTGGGTTTGCCTCGCACCTCAATCGGGCACCAGTCCAACCCCGATTAACTGGGTTTACCCCGCACCTCAACCGCGCACCAGTTCAACTCCGATTAACTGGGTTTACCCCGCAACTCAACCGGGCACCAGTCCAACTCCGACGACCTGTGGAGAAACCACCACCTACACCCCACACAAACCACCACCTACACCCAACACAATACGAAGCACACACCCACCACCAACCAGTACATCACAAACACATATTTCAACCACCCTGGACATTCTTATTGTTTAAGTAAAACATTAATCAAAATGTTGTCCAATTAAAAAAATAACAGCGTTGCTGTTGAAACCCCTCAGCCAGAGTCAAGTTATCATGCGGAAACCATTAATCTTTAACTCAACATGGTGACCTTGACCTTTGGCCTTTGACCCCAGAACCAGTCCCAACATGCCTGTATCAATGGGAAGCCCCCTACCGAAGTTACACACCAAAATTTCATTTCTAACTCAAGTTATCATTCGGAAAAATTTACATTTAACTCACCATGGTGACCTTGACCTTTGACCCCAAAACCAATCCCAACTTGCCTGTACCCAAGGGCAACCCCCTACCTGAGTCAGACACCAAAATCTCATTTCTAACTCAAGTATCATCCGGAAACCATTTACATTTAACTCACCACGGTGACCTTGACCTTTGACCCCAAAATCAATCCCAACTTGCCTACTCCCAAGGGCAACCCTCTAGTTAGACACCAAAATCTCATTTCTAACTCAAGTTATCATCCGGAAACCATTTACATTTAACTCACCACGGTGACCTTGACCTTTGACCTTTTGACCCCAAAACCAATCCCAACTTGCCTACTCCCAAGGGCAACCCCCTACCAAAGTTAGACATCAAAATCTCATTTCTAACTCAAGTTATCATCCGGAAACCATTTACCTATAACTCACCATGGTGACCTTGACCTTTGACATTTTGACCCAAAAACCAATCCCGACTTGCCTACTCCCAAGGGCAACCCCCTACCAAAGTTAGACATCGAAATCTCATTTCTAAGTCAAGTTATCATCTGGAAACCATTTACCTTAAACTCACCATGGTGACCTTGACCTTTGACCTTTTGACCCCAAAACCAATCCCAAATTGCCTACTCCCAAGGGCAACCCTTTACCAAAGCTAGACACCAAAATCTCATTTCTAACTCAAGTTATCATCTGGAAACCATTTACCTTTAACTCACCACGGTGACCTTGACCTTTGACTTTTGACCTCAAAACCAATCCCAACTTGCCTACTCCCAAGGGCAACCCCTACCGAAGTTACAACCCCAAACAACATTTCTAACTCAAGTTATCATCTGGAAACGAAGCTGCCCGGACGGACAGACGCACTTACATACAGACGGGCGTACCTCCCAGATGGACTTCCGGGGTACCTCCATTGTTGTCCCATTGTCCCTATTTCTAAAGATTTCACTTGCGGGGTACCCTATTTTCTAAAGATTTCACTTGCGGGGTACCTCGAACAAAGGACAGGTACCCCACAAGTGGTCCCTGGTCAGAACGGACGGACGGACGCCCTAGGCGATGACAATACCGCTTGAGCCTCTCGGCTGAGGGGCAAAAACAATAAAGTAATTTTTAAAAATTTGGGCTGATAAATGATTTGAATGTTTTCTCCCAATTTTCCTTTATTTCAACAAAATCCTGACAAACAAATTGACTTTTGTGCTTATTTCCAAAACATCGTTTAAACTGAAATTTTTCCAGGATGGTTCAAGTAACATAAACATGTACAAGCAAATTTGAGGGTTTTTATTGAGATATTTGATTACAAAATTGCTAAAAACTGCTGCGCTAATTGGTTCACATAACATAATAATGAACTGCAGTTGCTTCAACTTTATAGAATCAGGATAGATTCAAATTTGCTTGCACATGAAAAATACAAGAATCGTGGTTTGACTTACTCTGAACAAAACGAGCGACTCCACTTGCAAACTGTCACAATCCTGGGGAACAAGTGCATGTGGCCTTGAGCTGCGAAGAAAATGGTTACCTCACCTGAGTTAACATGCAACCTTGTTCCCCTGTGCCGATGATTCCGAACAATCCAATGAATGACTCCACTTGCAAACTGCCACAATCCAAGGGGGGGGGGGGGGAACAAGTGCATGTGGCCCTGCAAAGAAAATGGTTACCTCACCTCAGTTTACATGCAACCTTGTCCCCCTGTGCCAATAATTCCGAGCAATCTATCGAACGACTCCACTTGCAAACTGTACACTTTCACAATCCGGGGGTCTCTTGTGCATGTTCACATCTGCAGGAAATTAATGCATTATAAATTAATGTTCATTTAATTTGAAGTATTTTCCTTGTATTGCCTTTGGTCAAATAATGAAAAGCTGAAATTTATAAAATACCAAATTTGTAATATCTGCCATTTTTACACTCTAAAAACAGATTGGTTAATATAACCAATCATTAACCAATCGATTTTAATCATGCGCGTCAATCCTTTTTTTCCCCCAAATTTTCCGCGGTAGCTCCAACAGAAGCCATTATTGCCCCACCTCCTCAAATTTTTGTACCAAGGAGCACCAGGGAATGGGAAATTGCACCAAGACAAATGATCGAGGGGTCCAAGGCAAATTATGGAGGACACCAATGTACATGAGGACACCAACAAATGCAAAAATAGTACCCCACCTTGTCTGTACAATCCAAGCTTGAAAAAAAAAAAAAGAAGAAAAACAAAAAAGCCGCGTTGCCGCATCAATTCCAGAACTTTGGTCTGATCAGAGACCAAGTATTTTTTTTTTTTGGCCTTAACAATGATTTTTTTTGGGGGGGGGGGGGTTACCTCCGAGGTTTTTGAGTGATAAAGGCATCCACAAGTAGTGAGGATGGCGAATTCCACTTCTCCCAACATCAGAAAGTCACCAGAAAGTCACCAGAATCATTCCACTTGTCCCAACATCAGAAAGTCACCAGAATTCCACGTCTCCCACACCAGAATAGGCAGTGTTCCTCAAAGTTCCAGTTGGTCCTTCCAAACAAGCATCGTCCTTCCAAACAAGCATCGTCCTTCCAAACAAGCATCGTCCTTCCAAACAAGCATCGTTCCTCCAAACAAGCATCGTCCTTCCAAACAAGCATCGTCCTTCCAAACAAGCATCGTCCTTCCAAACAAGCATCGTCCTTCCAAACACGCATTGTCCTTCCAAACACACATCGTCCTTCCAAACAGGCATCGTCCTTCCAAACAGGCATCGTCCTTCCAAACAAGCATCGTCCTTCCAAACAAGCATCGTCCTTCCAAACAAGCATCGTCCTTCCAAACACGCATTGTCCTTCCAAACAAGCATCGTCGTTCCAAAACACGCATCGTCCTTCCAAACAGGCATCGTCCTTCCAAACAAGCATTGTCCTTCCAAACACGCATCGTCCTTCCAAAACACGCATCGTCCTTCCAAACAAGCATCGTCCTTCCAAACAAGCATCGTCCTTCCAAACACGCATCGTCCTTCCAAACATGCATCGTCCTTCCAAACAAGTGTCCAAACAAACTTCCAATATTGCATGGAGTTCAAGGTAGGCATGTTCTTCAGTTGTGCTTCCAACGATTGTATC